ATATATATATATACGTGCTTGGGACTGTCATTGGCAGCAATAAAAATGCTGGTCCTCAGAAGGACTATTCTCATGCAGAAGGACTGTTCTCATTGGGGGCTCCAGAGGCTAAGTAAGTAGAGAGTTTAGACTAAAGTAATGTCAAGCAAGTGTCTGTGACACAGGGATCAGATGGGTGGCCACTGGGGTGAGTCCTTGAGCAAGACACGACAACCCTAGCTCAAAATACAGGGTGCTGCCCAGCGGCGACCGACAGTGGCATGGTTATAAACTGTTCTGTATTTGTGAAATATTAGGCTATGTATTTATGTAAGTAATTAAGTATGTACATATTTATAATTTTGCATTTACGTATGTATATGTATGTTTGTCATTGTAAACCAAAGTGCCCTTCTGAGACAAAATAAAAGTGTAATTTATTTTTATTTATCTATATATTTATGAGTTGATGAGTGTTCTATGGTCTGCTGGGGTAATAATATGCAGTGGAACCTGTGTAAGACGGAATCGAAGGGAGTTGGAAAAAAATTGCGTCTTAGACATGTTTTGTCTTAGGCAGGTGAATTTAAAAGGGGGGGAGGGGAGATGGAGGGGGGTTTCAAAGGCCCAGCTGGCCGTATGATCAGGGTGGCAGGCATTGGTCAAACTAATTTCATACCTCTGGCTTCTGGCTACCCAGGAAAGTTTCTGTGGTGGCTCGCTACTCGAGCACTTTCACTGGTACTTGTGAGATTTCACACCCACACCACCCTGAACCCTGACCATAACTGACCATCTGCATCGTTTAGGGTTCACATAGATGAGGTAACATCTACCCCCAAATTGCACCCGTACTCCCCTTCCTCGCCCGGCGGCAGCGTTAAGTTTAAAGCCGGCGGAACCAAACTTGCGAATTTTGTTTCAAATCAAGGCTGAGCGGGCAATAAAACATTTTCCATCTAAGACAGGTAAAACCTCGGAAGGGAGCGGATTTTTTTGTCCGTTTCCGCGTTGGACAGATTTCCGTTTTATACACGTAACTAAAGAGGAAGAGATTCCGTAAGGACAGGTTTCCGTTTTATACACGTAATTAAAGAGGAAGAGATTCCGTTAGGACAGGTTTCCGTTTTATACACGTAATTAAAGAGGAAGAGATTCCGTTAGGACAGGTTTCCGTTTTATACACGTAATTAAAGAGGAAGAGATTCCGTTAGGACAGGTTTCCGTTTTATACACGTAATTAAAGAGGAAGAGATTCCGTTAGGACAGGTTTCCGTTTTATACACGTAATTAAAGAGGAAGAGATTCCGTTAGGACAGGTTTCCGTTTTATACACGTAATTAAAGAGGAAGAGATTCCGTTAGGACAGGTTTCCGTTTTATACACGTAATTAAAGAGGAAGAGATTCCGTTAGGACAGATTTCCGTTTTATACACGTAATTAAAGAGGAAGAGATTCCGTTAGGACAGGTTTCCGTTTTACACAGGTTTCTGTTAAGGCAGGTTCAACTGTAGTGTAAAGCGCATAGAGCTTGCTTTTGAGTGGGGATATGTACTATACAAATGCTATTATTCTTATTATTTTTAATGTTAATTTTGGCATCAGATCAAGACCTCTCATTTCCCCCCTTGAGTCGACAGAAGATAAAGAGGCAAAAAGCGTCTGGCCCTACCTCTCTATAATCCTGTATTAGAGGCATCATCATATAGTGAAATCAGACACTCATCAAATCAATGAAATCAAATCACCAATATTTTTCCTCCTGTGAAGCAATTTTTATTTTTTTTGGAGGGGGGGGGGGCTCCACACCTTTCATGTCCCATTTCAAAATGCATTTCGGTGTGAATTTTACCGTCAAACATTGATAATAGCCTAAATAATGTAATTTTGAGTTTCCAAGACCCAAGCTTCGGAAGTCACCAAACTTAAGCCAACATTTTTCCCTAATTTCATCTCTCACACACTAGAGGTGACCTCCAGCTCCTCAATATCTCCACTTCTTTTCAAGATGGATGGACATTTTTTTCCCCATCAAATACAAGACAAATAAACAAGATGTCAGATGATACCAATAATTTCATTTGCTTAAAAACCGACAAGCATGACTCCAGCGTGTCCTGACACACATACATACAAGAATGTAGGCCTACTCTAGTTCTAATCTAGCAGTTGGTATCCTTTCAAGAGGTGAAGCCTGCAAAAATCTCCTGCAGCCTACAGCTAGGGGGCTTTTGAGATAAATTTGTGAAAAATGGTGAAATGGTATAGGTTTAGCACCCCTAACAACACTATTAGGTCATTTAAGGGGCGGGACCTCCTAGTTTAACGTCCGTCTCCGATAGGAGAAATTTGTAAACAGCTGGAAATGTAGGCCTACAGATGCCTTCCAGTCGTGGAATAAAATCTCAGCATCTCTGTATAACTTATGAAGGGATATTGAAACATAAATTGGAGAATATTCCCCAAGATTCTATTAAATAAAGGAGTAAGAGTCAAAACGAAGCCTGTACAATTTGCAGAAGTAAAAATTAATTAAATGAATAATGTGAATGAAAAGTGTCGACTAGCCTAGCCTGTCAGTCTAGCTGTATTTTAGTTAGGCCCTATGGAGAACCTGTTGAGAACACGTACAGGTCTGATTAATAGTAATTATTCAGGTTTAAAATAAATGCATGTCAGTAAGGCACCTTAATTGGTTTCGTCTCAAATACAAATACTTTAGGTATGCCTATTGCACACAAAAAAATTATTTACAATTCAATGTAAGGCTTATTTTTTTGCTGTTTTATTTGTCAGTCTAGCAGCAATCATTATTAAGTACGGCTCGCCTAGCCGTCGAGTCGTCATTAAGTACGGCTAAATTTTAACAGTCTAGCAGCCATTTTAAACGTGCTTCCTATATGAATGGTGAATCACAGTAGCCTATCAAAATTTAATTCATGGAATCAAACTGAGTGTCAGAGGGGGTCAGGACTTTTTTACTTTAATGAAACTAGATCTAGATCTAGATCTAGATTTAGATCTAAGTCGTTGAAATTATCAAACAAGAGAACAAAAAGTAGACAATGGACCATAGGTTCGCGTCAGTCAATCGCAAGGCTACACATCTATTATAATTAGTTATTTAATCTGGCATATTATGTTAAAGCCAAGTGTATTAGGATTAGGGCTAAAGTTAGAGCACAAGGCATGGTCTAGATCTGAGACTAGATCTAGATCTAGATTTAGATCTAGATATCTATGCAAACAGAATTCGATGGGTTTTCTGACTGGAAACGGGAAGGTCGATAGCACAATGACGCTCATAAAAGGCAAATCATCAACAAAGACGAGAGACTAAAGTTCAAAAGCCTGCACTGCAAGTTGCAATCTAAAGACAAAGGACAAAGAAGAAATCATTGAAACTCCAACCAACCTGAACCACGCATGTGACTTTCAATATAATAAGTCATAAGTCAAGTAATATAAATATAAGTGACAATAATAATGTCATGAGCTTCACAACTTCATAATGCAAACAATCACCAACTCACAGCAGACAGGTCTTGAGAATGGCAGTGTAGGTATATTTGTAAGCCTCTGCAAACTGAAATACGCTTTTAAAAAATATTAATTTAGGGGAGTTAGGCCGCAAGCTTAGCGACTCTGCCCACCGCTAGATTCTAAGCCTAGATTGTAGGTAAACTGTAAACAGACCACGCTCTGCTGTTGTTGGTTGACCTTTCTCTCGTGCTATGGATTGAACTTTGAGTTCACGACCTCTGTCAACCGGTGTAAAATGCTAGAAAGCTACTCCATTTTCTTTTTTGTTGTCTGTGTCTACGTCAGAGACGAGGTGACAATTAAGACTTAAGAGACAGGTTGTCACAAAACTAATACATTTTGATCAATTGATTAATACGACGGGAAGACAAAAAGAACAAAATGAAACTGAAATATCAGCACGGAGGACTAATAGGAGTAGATTTAACCTCTGTGGATTATTTTAGTTCCGATCAATGAAAGAATTATGATATAAGTCTTATTCTCTTGCTGTTCTCTGTCCCTATCTGTCTCTCTCCCTGTCAATCTGTCTGTTTGTCTGTCTGTCTGTCTGTCTGTCTGTCGTTCGGTCTGACAGCCCCCCCTCTTCCCCTAG